GAAAAAAAAAATAAGAGAGACCTGCCAGCCACCACATCCTGCGTCGTGTATATAGGGTTTTGTACTTTTGTAGAATTATTTCACCTGATATATTTTGTTAAGACGTCAGACACCCTACTGCCGTGGAAGGGTAACAGTGAGGACTTCCTTAAACATATCTTGATTTTCTCGCAAGATGCTTTTGCTGAACTAAGTCTAAATTGTGTTTATTCTTATATATTTTTTTTTCGTCTAGGCTTGTTTTTCTTTCTTTCTTTCTTTTCTCTCCTGTTTCATTTCTTTCTTGGCTTTCTTTTTTCTCTTTCGCATGGAAAGATGAGAGACAAGATTTTTGTGTGTGATATGTCGTATAAAAGGACGTTATATTTCGGGTCCCTTCGTTGATTGGGTCTTTCTCTTTTCTTTCTTGGTCTGCCCATTCCCCTGCTTTTTATCTCCCTCTCTTTCTGTTGGTATATACATTTCTCTGTCTCTCTCTCTCTCTTTCTCTCTCTCTCTTTCTTTCTTTCTTTCTTTCTTTCTTTCTTTCTCTCTCTCTCTCTCTCTCTCTCTCTCTCTCTCTCTCTCTCTCTCTCTCTCTCTCTCTCTCTCTCTCTCTCTCTCTCTTCTCTCTCTCTCTCTCTCGCTCGCTCGCTCTCGCTCTCCCTCACGCTCACTACCACCCTCTTCCACCTCGTCAGGCAGTGTCACTTGTCACGTGTCACTGCCCCATCTTCGTCACAGAGTCGCTCAATGTCATCCTTCCATCCTGAGAATCAAAAGCATCCTTGTAACCCTTGACAGGCGTACACGCACAGCCTCCAAGGGCGAGTGCGAAGTAGGGCTTCACAGCGAGAGAAATAAGGGTAGATCTCCGGTTGGCGCTTAAGGATGTCGGGGGGAAAAAAGAAGTGTAAGAATGACGTAAGAAATGGAAAATGGGAAGGAAGATGGAGTAAAAATGTGTATTGTAGAATGGCTTGTGTGAGGATTGGAATGTGATTAAAGGAAAAGATAGAAGATTAACAGGTTCTTGGTAGAGAGAAGATGACCAGGATTGTTCAAGGGGAATCTGCGGTGTCAGGTCGCATTCAATATGCACTAAGACTGCAATACTAAAGACTGGCAATAGGCAAGTGCAATTAAATATCAACGGGGGCGATTTTCTTTTCTCCTTGAATCTTATCAGTTGAATGTGCTGATGTTCCGCCTGTTTGAATAAACTTGAAGTCGCCTTTTTCTGTTTGAAATTGATGTGCATAATTGTTTCATTTAGGTTGTATGTGGATATGTTAATCTTATGTGTTAAAACAACCATTCATATGTACACACATATATGAATACATATGTACCTCTATACATACATATATGTCTATGTGTGTGTGTGTGTGTGTGTGTATATATATATATATATATATATATATTATATATATATATTATATATATATATATATTATATATGTATATTATATATATATACATAATACATATCATATATACATATATATATACACACATCATGCATGTATATCTTAAATGTATGTGTATGCATATATATTGCATTAAACCAAGTGCTCATTTGATAATTATTACTATATTGTTGAAAATTGTTTAAGAACAGATGACCATTCTAAGATTTGTATAAAGCATATATTAATGTGACTGTGACCGAAAAAAAGCTAATGATATTTTTGCATTTATTTTTATGTGATTGGCATCTAGTTGATAATGTTACCGCTAAAAAGCAATAGGAAATTACCGTAAGAGAGTTACCTTCCGAGGCTTCCAGGGACGCGCGGGCTCGCCTGCCGCCACCACAAACCACGCACAAACTCCTTCGTCATTGTTGCCTCCCCTCTGGCGTCGCCGCCTCTCGCGCGGGTCGCCTCGCGGGGGACTCCCTCCTCCCGCCCGGCCTCGGACCCCGGCGAGACCCCTTATCAGCGCCGTCGAGAGATAAGAGAAGGCGTGCGATGGAAGGCGCCGCGGAAAGGCCTGGGTCGAGGTCGAGGCCCCCGAGAGGCGCCCCCCGAGAGCGGGCGGATGAGCCGCCATAATCCTGCGACAGTCCTCTGCGGGTTATGGGAAACGTCCGATGTGGTGACCTTGGCCGGCCTACGTCTGTATACTGATGAATCATGTTACAATTCCCCAGTTTGTTGGTTTGTTTGTCTGTCTCTGTGAAACGACCTGGAGTTCGGCTTGACCTCTGAACTGCTGCCTTTTCCTCGAGAATTCTCCATTGGATCCGTCTTTTCTTCGGTCACGTCTGTTCTCTTGGCTGGGAGGGCTCGGCGCCGCTGCTCGGGCTCGCAGGGAGGCGTCTGGCCTCGGAGGGCGTCCTGGCTATTCAATATGTGTGTGTGTGTGTGTATCTATACATGTGGATTTTTTGTATATATGTGTGTATATAATATATATATTATATATATATATATATATATATATATATATATATATATATATATATTATATATATATATATATATATATATATATTATATATATATATATATATATA